TAATGCTAGGAATACCCCTGGGACTGCCCCGGCTGTTTAAGAGTCTGTAAAACAGGGCTGGAGAGATGGCTCAATGGTTAAGAGCAATGACTGCTCTTGCAGAGGACCCAGGTTTGATTCCCAGCACCCACATGGCAGCTACAAACTGTCCTTAATTCCAGTTCCAGGGTAATCCGAAGCCCTCTTCTGCCCTCTGCAGCATTGCACGACATGGGTGCGATCACATACATGCAGGTAACATACTCATACGCGTAAAATAAAAATAATAAAATATTAAAAAATAAAGCGTCTGTAAAGCATCACCTATGGGTACCCACATCCTTGCTTAATTAATTTGGAGAAGAAGCTTCCCTTTAGTTTCATAATAAGCAAAGCTATTTTCTCAGCTTTGAGACCTTGCATTTTAAGCCTTAGTTTGAAGAGAGTCAAATTAAGTCCACTGCTGGAGATGAGCTACTCTGACCTGACACACTCCCACACTATTTTAATAAGAACTGACAGATGAGAGATTTTCTTTCATCAACAGTTTTATGAATATGACCCTTGGGGATATGGACATTTAAAACTGAGGGTACTGAACAAAGTAAATCTGGTTTTTGAAATTTCTTTGGCATTATCAACTGATTTAGATGTACTTTAAAGGAAACTACAGGACACTGGAATTTTAAATCTGAAACAACTAGGTGGCTCACTCCTGTAATCCTAACACTCAGGAAGTAGAGGCAGGAGGATTGCCAAAAGTTTAAGGCCAGTCTGATCTACATATTGAGTTCTAGGCCAGTCAGGGCTTCACAGTGAGACCCTGCCTCAAAAAACAAAAGAAAAGAAACAAACAAATAATAAATACTCTGTAACAACTCACAAAAGGAAAACACTTCATTCCAAAACTGGAGCCTATTACCAAATCCTATGCTTAAGCTGGGCGGCTATAAACAACTGAGCACAGCATTTTAAGCATTCCTTCCGTACTTCCTACCAAACCCAGTTCCAATCCTCAATCCGATCCTGGAGAATGCAATCAGATGTTCAAGAATTCTTACTTTAATTTCTCCTTACACTTCCCTAGCTCACATGGGCAGCCAAACAACATGAACACCAACCACAGAACCAACCAAACCTATGACCGATAGGATGTGCTAATGAGACACATTGGCACTACTGCATTTTAGTTTTTTAATTTTTACATTTATTTCTGTGTGTGCTGTTTATGTACACACACACCACAGTATACATGTGGAGGCCAGAGGGCAAATTGCAGGAGTTAGTTCTTTCTTTCTATCATGTAGGTTCTGGGGACTGAACTCAGGACATCAGACTTGGCAGCAAGCACCCTTACCCACTGAGCCATCTTGCCAGCCCCTTGTTTTTGTTTCTGTTTTTGAGAGAGCATCTTACTGTGACCCAGACTAGACTGAAACTGACATCCACCTGCCTCAGCCTCCCCAGCACTGGAATGAGAAGTACACATCATCCCACCCCCAATTTTATTTGTTTATGTGGTTTGGGGTTTTCTTTTGTTTTTTGGTTTGGGTACATTTTTAAAAATGGTATTTCTTGCACCTAAAACTTCAGTTATTATTTAAGTCACATCCCTACTATAATTAAGTAGCAAAGCTGAAACTAAATCAGGCAGATGGGCCAAGCCAGACGCTAAATGTCAAAATCACAAACCACCACATGGATGTACCACCCCAGCTCCATCAAGGCCAGGAAGTCAGGTCGAGGGCTGTCCTTTCATAAGGAAAGTCCTTGGGTAAGGCAGGGACTGCCTTCCTAGAGATCCCCACTGTCCAACAATCAGGTTATCTTATGATTGCTGAGTCTCCCAAGAGCCTTTGTGTAGCAGAGACTCTGCTAGACATGATTGGGTTTCACCCTGGCAAAACAGGGTCTCACTTCCAAAGAAGCTCTGCAGAATTCCTAAGAGCAAGTAGCTAAAGAGGACACAATAGGCCACCTCCAACAGGGGTTCTTTCTCCAGCTCTAAGCAAGCCTTGCCTCCTCTGCACCCACCCCTCTAAATTTCAGATAATCCCCACTAGGGAGCTGGAGTGCTCACCCTATTGGAGAACCACAGAGGTAATCAACACTGTGCTGGCCCTAGGCTCTCTGTGTGTGCCTGTTTTGATAGAGGAGCAAAATTCAGGAGGTGTTCAGATTATCTAGAGAAAACCTTACAGGGGAAGGACTGTTTCACTGCACTGGAAGGGCTGAAGGGCTGTTTGACGGAGGAAGTGTGAAGCTATTCTTGGGAGCCTCCAACTTCCCATGAAAAGGCTTAAACAAGTAAGAGTAAAGGGTATATCCAGGCAGGCAGGCAGGCAAAGTTGGGGAGGAGGGGGCAGGTGCCACCTGGGGGACTTTTAATGTTGAAAAAACAAGAGTGAGACCCAGGAGGGAAGATGGAGTTAATTAGTAATGGAAAGTGCTGGCCCTCAGCATTCCAACTCCAGATAACTGCCTGGAGGCTCATGTTGGAGGCCTACTCCATTCCAAACCAACTTCCATTCCTTAAGGTCTGTGCAATCCTAACTGATTTAGGATCTGTAGGGTCTGCTGAAGTATCTTAACAATCAGGGTTAACAAGAAATCAAACTTCCGTGAAATATGACATTTTTCATTCTTCCTCCAGAAAAATCCTATGTATGTCAAATATTGGCACACAAACAAAAAGCACTTGTTAATTAACTTAAAAAAAATACTCTCACAATTAAGTTGACACGGTCTAGACATTAACCAACATAAAATCTTTGCCAAGTGAATGGCAAGCATTAAGCAATGCCAAATTTCCATCCTAATTTTAGCATCACCACCAATTATCTTTATTTCCAACATTACTGTTTTATTATACTTTCAAGATGAAACAATAAATCAAATAACATTAGTCGTAAAAGTGCTGATGGAACAGATGACTAACATTTAGTGACACTAGTAGCACAAGTAGGGCTGCTTTCAAACTCAGGGTGCCCCTCACAGAGGGTGGCAAGGAACTCAAATCTAAAAGGAACTACCTCTTTGTGCAGCTGGGAGGCCCAGTCGTTTCTAAGAAATTACTAAGCAATAGGCTTTTTAAAAGGAAGGAGATTCTGGGAATTTTAGTTTCCATGAAGCCTGATCCCTTCCTTCTGTGGATTGGAATACTTCACCCTTTTGTAGAACAGATGTATAGTCAAGACAATGTAACTGCATTGAATTTATCATCTGTAGTCCTTCAAACATACTAGTTTTAAATAGTAAAGAATATAGAAGTTTCATGTTACTATAACCATGAAATAAATATAAAAAGTTGCCTTGGTCTGGATTTCCCAATACAAAACAGAACATCCTCAATCCCCTATGCATTTAGTGTTCATTTACCAGCTTCAACCACCCTCCTCCCTCAACCCCCCCCCTCCACCCTCCCTTAGGTTTTAAGAGCCTAGGGCTGGCTATTTACAACACAGCATTTAAAATAACAAGGCATCTTATTGTAAACCGGTTCCCCCGCCCACCAATGGAAGTCCCTCCCACCAACGCAGTGATTTGCTAAAGAATGAAATACGGACAGCTCCAATGTACATTTATTTATCATACAATTTCAGCAGGATGGAGAAGCTACAAGAATCACTCCCAGTTCAAAAATCCTGTTTCTAGTACTCTGAGAGGCTGAATAACGTAATGTCTTGTTAATTATAGTTAATTTAAAACAAGTTTTCTAATCCTAGCCTGCATTCCTATCCTGGAAGATTTTTGTTAGTACCTCATTACAACAGTTTGTAAAGGGAAAGAAACAAAAACATAAAAAGCAGCTTGTTCTCCAGATTTAGCACTCAAAAACGGTGAGCATCATATACAGATCTAAGCTGAGGTTAAACTAAAAAGAAACAAGGTCCATTTAGAACAAATTTCCTAGTAAACTGCCACGTTTCACTTTTTCCACGACTGAAGGTCCCTCAACTACTAAGATAAAATTTTAAGCATTTAGAGTAAGATCACACAACATTCAGTTGTGTCTTCGTTTAAATTTCAGTATATTCACGTTTCTCTTGGGGGTAAATTTTTCATAAAAATCGAACACATTTGCTAAATACTTTAGGAAGGCAGATTTGAGCCAATAAATTTGAATTTTACCTCCCAAACTTAACTGTTTTCTAGGCTAGCAGTTAATTTTTTTTCAAGCCTATATTATAAGGACGCTCTCGCATCTAAGCTGGAAAATGTGGATGAAAAAGTCCTCGCTCAAACTTTTCGTGAACAAAATCCGCGTGTCAAGTTCTCTCCCGTTCAAGCTCGCAAACGTCAGTTTTCAGGCGCTGGCCTCAGAGCCCGCGGCTGGCAGCCAAGGTCACCCAGGAGGGACCGTGCGCTGTGCAGCGGGGTCAGGTGTGCGTGGCCCCGGCTCGGGAGACCCGCGAAAGGACAGAAGTCCCAGTCCCGCAGCTCGCAGCGCGCTGGAGGAGCGCACCGCTGTACCCGTGTCCCCGCGTCGGCCGGCGGGCTGGCGGGGAACCAGGCAAGTCCGAGAAAGTCGGCTCCACTGGGGCGCAGGACGCGGGTTATGCAACTGCCCCGCGAACAGGCTGCCCCAGTTGGGGCGACTCGGGTCCCGGGGGCCGGGAGCGCACGGCCGACAGCCACTCCGAGTGCAGCCCCGAGGACCGCGAGCTTGTGGGGTGGACCGCGCGGCGGCCGAAGCGGGAGCGGCAACCCTGGGGCGGCCGGACACAAGGCTCGGCCTCCGAGTCCCTGGGTTCCCTGCCGCTCCCGGAGTCGCACGGTACGC